ATTATGATAATATTTTTCCTTAACTGCACCCTGTAAACCAGCTGATTAAACAAGCAGAGCTTACTTCTTGATCAATCTGGGAATATAATAACACTTAAATTATCACCATTTTGTCCGTAGGGGATGAGTTGTTGAGGAAATCTATGAGAGAGCTTGATTTTTCTTCCAATTTCGCATTGGCTGCTCCCCAAGGCCCATCCGAGTGTGGTCATCATCGATGACCCGGCTCCATTAGTGATATATCACACTACAGACAAAGTAGCTGACGACGACGGAGTACCATAATGTAAGACAACAGGCAACCAACTAAGTCTATTATGGAGATGGACCAGGGCCGTAGGTAGCCATTATTGACCGGTTGGTCGAGCGCCGTAGGCGAGAGGGTTTGAATGTCCACCGCGAGGTACTTCTTCCCCTAAAATAAGAGGCTTGAATCGATTTTATTGGTTTTATTTTCTCTCCATTCTGTTGGAGCAGTGCTGAGCGAGGGGCTGGGTCCCGTGAAGAAGAAACCCAGCAAATGATCTGCCTTCGCGGGCGGAGAGAAGGGCGAAGGGGAAGAGATACGTACTGCCCTCAGGCAGGGAGAAGCCAGCTGTATGTCAGCAATAATAGCTCTGCGTGTTGAACGGATGAGAAGAAGCAAATTATTATCTTTAACAGCACGTGCTCCACGCTGGATGCCTTCAATGGTACAGAAAGGGAACAAGTAAGCAACGCTAGGCCTATATAAATCAGCTTAGGCACACAGGCAGCTGTTCATTGACTACTACCACCGCAACCTCAGCTACTACCTTCATGGCTGCCGCTGCTCCTCATATGGTCCCTCCCACATCGCCCGCCACCAGCCGCAGTAAAGTACCCAAATGGTCTGGCCTCTCTGCTTCTCTCTCCTTTTCTCCGTCTGTCCAGGGTCGGACATCTTCCTTGCGACATCACTCGAGGATCCGGGCATCGTCGGCGGGGAGAGATGCCTCCCCCAATCAGCCGCCATCGTCTTCCGCCATGAAGGCTATCACCGAGGATGTAGAGATGATGCAGCAGAGGGAGGACAGGAGAGTAGAGAAGGCGCAGGCCAAGGAAAAGGCGGATGCCCGCGAGAGGGAGAGGCGGTGGCAGGAGTCGCACCAGCCAAGGGATGATCTGGCGCCACGGTGGCGGGAGGTGGCCGGCAGGGACAACTGGGTCGGCATGCTTGACCCTTTCGACCCACTCCTCCGGGCGGAGCTCATCCGGTACGGCGAATTTGCGCAAGCCTGCTACGACGCCTTCGACTTCGACCCCTACTCCCGGTACTGCGGCGGTTGCAAGTACAGTCGCCGCAGCTTCTTCCAGTCGCTTGACATGGCGAACGCTGGCTACGAGGTCACACGCTACCTCTACGCAACATCTAACGTCAAGCTCCCCAACTTCTCCCGGCGCTCGAAGAGAAACAATGCCTGGAGCGAGTCCGCTAACTGGATCGGCTACATCGCCGTGTCCGACGACGCCACCACGGTGCGCCTCGGCCGCCGCGACATTGTAGTTTGCTGGCGCGGCACGGTGACCCAACTGGAATTTATTGCCGACCTAGTCAACTTCCACCAGCCGGTCTATGCCGAGGGGATACCCTGCCCAGACCGCTCCGTGCAGGTGGCGGCGGGCTTCGTGAACCTCTACACGGACAAGAACACGGACTGCCGCTTCTCCAGCTACTCCGTCAGGGACCAAGTGCTGGCGGAGGTGCGGCGGCAGGTGCTGCGGTACGCCGAGGAACGAGGGGAGGAGATCAGCATCTCTATGACAGGGCACAGTCTTGGGGGCGCCCTCGCCACCCTCAGCGCCTACGACGTGGCGGAGGTTGGGCTGAACAGAGTGAGGCCGGCGGGGGGGAATGAGAGAGTGATACCGGTGACCGTCTACTCCTTTGCAGGGCCGAGACTGGGGAACGAACCCTTCAAGGAGAGGTTCGAGGAGATACTCGGCTTGAAGTCTCTTCGAGTGGTGAACGTCCACGACGTTGTACCCAAGGTGCCCGGACTTATCATCAACGAAAACGTCCCAGAGTTCATGCGCCGCGCAGGGGCCGCGATGCCGTGGAGCTATTGCCACGTCGGGGTGAAGCTGGCGCTCGATCACAAGCGATCACCTTTCCTCAAGGACACAGCCGAGGCCTCCTGCTTCCACAACCTCGAGGCCTACCTCCATCTACTCGACGGGTAAGAACTCTACATCACCGCCCAACCTTGTAGATTGGACATTATAAGCGTGGACCGAGATTGGATCACCTGACATTTAATTGGGCTTTACAGGCATCACGGGACGGAACGGAGCTTCGCGCTGGTGACTGGCCGGGACCCAGCGCTCGTGAACAAGTCCTGCGACTTTCTCGAGGAGGAGCACATGGTGCCCCCAAACTGGCGCCAGGACGCCAACAGGGGCATGATCCGCAACGCCGACGGGCGATGGACGCAGCCAGAGCGCACCAAGTTCGATGAACTCCCTGCCGACATCGACTTCCAACTCAGGCAGATCGAACGTGCCGTCAACGATCGAGAATAGCCTCGCTAGTGGCCGGCCACCCAAGAGAGGGTTTTCAATCTGCGCGGCTACTACAGGTAGAAGTTTAGATCTGCGGGATGAACTTAGTTACAGGGATCGTATGGGCGGTTTAGATGAAACTGACGTTGTGGGAATTTGACACTTTGTTATAATTCGTTCCTCTGAAATCGATCATGGCCATATAACTATTAGCCCAAAGGCACAACTTGCAAAATCGACCAGGGACCTCAAAACAAAAGCATTTGAGGTTATTGTTTCGGCTCTGCTTCCCAATCTTTTTCTCTGAGCTCAGATGATTTTTCTCCCCTTTCCCAATTAGAATCTATTATCGCTTACACAAAATCAATAATACATCTCAAAACAAAAAAATGATTTTTAAATTAAAATTTATTCAAACTTGAAAAAAAATATAATCATCAAGTAGGCTTATTGAATCATGATCTCAGTATTTAAAATCATAAATTTAATAGTATATAACATTTAAAATTATTTTCCAAATAATATTCAGAAAAATTTTGAGCAGTAATAAGAACAGTCTGGATTAACTCAATAAATTCAATAACAAAATTATTTAAAATTAATGATCTATCTCCATGGGTATCTATTACACTGAGTTAGCTTTTATACTTGTATTGTACCTAATGACTTCTCATTGATTTTGCAATCCTAATCATTACCTTCCCATAGTGGTACTCCTTAAAAATATTGGCATTTGCAATAATAAATAAAGTGATAATTCAACATTATAAGATTGCATGCCATCATTGAATTCCTATTTTGACATCTATCATGATTATTTTGAATTCTTCATAAATTTATATTTAATTAACTTCAAGTACATATATAAAAGAATTACGATCTATGAATCAATTTCATGATTAATAAACATACTTTGATCCTTTGGTTAATCTTGTGAGTATTTTCCATCATTGAAACATTATGCATTTAATTTTCAAACAAGGTTCACACCATATCTCCTTTATATAGGAAACAGACAAGGTGCCAAGAAGTAATACTCTTTCGTTTTCTCTTAAGTATTTTTTTCTGTTCAATCCAGTTGGTGTTTCTACTGTTGCTGCTGCCACCAATGATAGTCCTTTGGATATTGTTGCTATCACTAATGATAGTGCTTTGGATAGTGTTGCTACCACCACTGATAGTCCTTTGGATAGTGTCACTACCACCAATGATAGTCTTCCTTTGGATATTGTTGCTACCACCAATGATAGTCCACCTTTGGATATTTTTTCTACCACCAATGATAGTCCTTCGGATTTTTTCGCTACCACCAATGATAGTCTTCTATATACCCTGACAAGTATAGAGAAGACTGGTGAACAATGACAAAAGGTGGAATGTGAAAGTATGTTTAGGAAGAAGTCACAAGTTTGGAAGGCTTTGTTGAGAATATTTTTAGTTCTCTGATAGAACATGATGAATGGCCAACTATTGCATTGGCTATGGTCTCGCTCAAACATGGGCAATGATAGTTGAACTTAGACTACCCAAGAAATATTATCGAAATCAGTAATTTTGCAAAAAGTTTAGCAAAGTCTTGAGACTCAAGAGTCTTATCAATAGTTTACTGTCTCTTTAATATGGTGAAGGTTACAAGTCTAAATATCACTCAGATTGAGCCAGAACCTTACTAATCTTATTCACATTGTAGGCTACTAGTCTGATCATTGATTCACATTATTTTCTTTGCAAATAGATTATATCATGAATCTTTTTTTTTTTTTTTTGAGGTGATGATTTGAAAAATGACTGGTCGCCAATACTCTTTGGGCAGTCGATGGATCATGTCTGGTGAGCTTTGAAGGCAGAAGCGGGAACCAATACAGGCTAAGGCAACTCAGCTGACAATGTGCCAGATTATATTGAAGAAGCCAGGACTCTGTGGACCAAAGATAGCCCATTCGTGATCTTCTTGGATAACTTATGATAAGGTTAAATCAGTTTTTTGTCTGATATTATCGTCCCTGATGTTCACATGCTATATTCGTTTGTTGCAATTCCTTTGGTAGGACCCTGAGCAATGGCCAATTACTTGAAGGTTCTGGCTCTTATCCATCTGCAACCATCTAACTCAGACCATATCTTCTTTCTTTCAGACTAGCTCAGGATAGGAGAAGGGATGGGTGGTGGTGGAGCTGAGCAGCGAAGAGGAGGGAGGGAACTGGGGTGAGAACATGACATGGTTGCTTGGGATCTCAGCACCCAAGTCCTCTTTCGTACTCGCTTGGAATGGCAAGAATCCTTCCATTGTCACGAGAAGCAGGGAGGAAGGAGATCTGAAGAACAGGGACAGGAATGTCTCACTACATCAAACTGACGAAGGACAGAACCCCAGAAGCAACTGTGAGGCAAGGTGGTCTCACACCCACCGCCTTGATCTGGGGCTTTCTTCCCACGGTGATTTCTGACACTGCATGCATCCCGAGGCCGTTGCTTCTTCATTACAAGATGGACACGCCGCCGGGGTGGTTCCAACCAACGAGCTTGATACGAGGGCTGACACCAGAGGGAACCTCAAAGGAGATGTCCACAACAGCGGACTCCCCGGGGACGAGGGACAAGTAGTTGTCAGAGTAATGGACGGGAAGGATCCGGGTGTCTTCTTCCTCATGGTCTTGCTGAGCTCTGTGCACCGAGAAACGAAGGAAGAATGCAACTCCTGCGTCTGTGCCGTTGACTCTGACGACGTTCGCACCACCATCGCTACCCCTTCTGAAGTGGCTCCCAAAGATCCTCCGTAAGGCACCGAAGAGCGGTCTCTCTGTTGCAGCCATCTGTGTCAAATCCGGATCACAGCCCTTTCCATGACTTGTAATTTCTGGATTTGGGTTCTTCGAGATGTTCCTCACATGCATCTTTACTGTGTAAGCAGATCCCTGAACCGTCGCTTCGGAGGTTATCTCCAGGGGAACTGTTCTTCTCCGATAGGGTTCCAAGAGCCTGAAGTCCCCTCCAGGGGAGTGCAGCCAGTAGAAGTTCCTCGATAGGACGCGGGAGCTGGAGACGAGGAAGAGCTTGAGGAGGAGGAAATAGACTGGCTTCGCGCCCTTTGACTGTGGATACTTCATCTCCACTGTCGTGAGCACTTTCTTGGGTGGGACTGAGATCTTCTCGGTGACCCGGTAATATGGGCAAGCTCCATCCAGGTCCCACACAGAAATCTCTACTGCTACGCCCTGAAGCTCGTCTGATGTGGTGTTCACTACCTGATTTGAGAAGACCTCAACTTTACAGAACAGGGGACAAGGAAACACGGAATCAAGTTCAGGACTGAAGTTGACTTACCTCTATGAAGTAGGTTGACAAGTTCAGCTGCACGTGAACAGGTTCTGCTGCATGGCGGCAACCATAAAACCCCGCCGTCTGATCATGTAGATGGTCATAAAACTGACCTCGGAGGCCAGTCCATGGGTTCTGGGTCTTCCAGATTAGAACGCCAGTATACTTGCTCCACATTCGTGAAGTCCAACCCTCAAGGAGAGCTCTATATTGGACGTAATTCACCAGCTGTGCCTGAAACGAGGGATTGACTTACTGAAAAGACTATTACGAAGAGAGTAAGAGCCTGAACTGACCAAAGGACGGTAAAGAAAAGTCAAACCTTCTGACAAAAATCATCGAGGTCTGTTGGCTGGCCATATAGTAAGATTTGATCATGAACCATTCCGGGCTGCGAGTATGGAATATATTTATGATATACCCACATAGGATTTGGGCTTTCCTCCACGTAACCATTGGAGACCTCCTTAAACAATGGAATTTTCCATCCTTCAGGTGGCATTGTAGCCCTAACTGTCGCAGCAACAGGCATCCCTACGGAGCCAACTTCTGGGTTGAACCCGTATTTGTAGAAATCATCACTGAAGAAATCTTCTGGGTTCTGGATTTCATATGGGCCGTCTGTGAAATTACCCTTTCCATCAGCGAAGCCATCCCACATAGATCCTTGAATGTAGACACGAGTTCCATCAAGAAACTGACTTGGGTCTTTTGCCTCTTGCAGTGGGTCCTCCTCTAGTTCGACGTCTTTGTCACAAGTTTGGAAGAGCGGATGAAGTCTCAAGTCATTTTTCAGGGCTGTGTTGATATCATCAGGTGGTGTCTGTTCATTCCCGCCCACCCATAGAGCAAGGCTTGCATGATTCCTCAAGAGTTTGACAGTGTCTCTCGCACAAACCAGGAACAGGTCATGGTCCAAAGGTCCATCAGGATTGGAGACTGGTATTCCACGCCCATCACAGTCACCAGTTATCCAAAATTCTTGCCATACCTGGAAATATGGATTACGGATTCATTAGATGAATTGCACAGGCATTTGTGCGTTTTACATCTAGGAAAGGTTACCAGGTCCACTATTTCGGAAAGAGGTCAGAAGAACAAGGTAGACGACTGAATGAGGGCACGAAACATTTAAAAAAAGTAGAAAATAATTGGTTACAACAGAAGGAAGCAAGTAATTTAGCCCGTTAACAAAAAATATCTCGAGATGATGAATATGGGTACTGTAGATGACGAGGGATGAAAACAAGCAAGTTTGGTGGGAAAAGCAAACGAGTTTCATTTAGTTTTTGGCTACCATCTTACCCCATATGTTCAGTAAATCTATTCCTGACATGGACTCATCGATCAGAATGTGATTTCCTTAATACGAAGACTTCCCTGTTTGTTTTGACGATTGGAATGATTTTTTCACTTACATAAAAGAAAAATTGCTAAAGACTGCTCTTCTAGTAGGACAGTGTCTGGGAGGTGTCCATGAAAAAGCAAATGTAGTGTGGAGACGTATGATTGCAAGCACGATTCTCATGAGATAGGATATAACCCAGAGTCATGGCAGGTCAGAGCATATCTCTAGGTGACGAGTTACTGAGCTAACTATGTTGAGCCCATTCCCAGTGTCTTCAAGTCAAAAGCGTATGAACGTTTTTCTCGAGTTTTCAAAGATGGGGAAGCAAACTTGAAAAGCGGATAAGTCTAAGATGCTAAGACGAATTGGTGAATAGCATGGGATACTTCAAGGAAACTATTTCCAAGTCTGTGAGGCCTGCAGCTTGACATGCTGGTCGTGAAGTGGATGTGCAGCAGGTGCTGACTTCGCATGTCTAGCTGTTTCACGTTTCTGACTTATAGGATGAAATTTCTATTAGTCTGTGCGCATCTGTTTCTTTTCTTTATTAGAATCATTTCTATCAGTGAATCCCACATTCAAGCAAAAAGAAGAAGGCTTTCATTATCAAAATAAAGGAGAAGAATTTTTCACACTTTATCAATGGTAAAAATTTTGAAACTCCTACCAACAAGCCATAAATATCACAATAGTGATAGAATTCTGGCCTCTCTGCCAAGCCACCACCCCAACATCGGATCATATTGAAGTTCATATCCGCATGAAACCTTATGTCTGTGTGGTATCGCTTCTCAGAAAGCCGTAATAAACCATCAGACAGAATCCAATTTCCTCCGCGGATAAAAATTGGTTGTCCATTTACCTTAAACAACCTGCAAAACATAGACGTGAATGACCTAGAAATTTTCGAAAACAAAAGACGCGGAATTAATGTGGAGAACAGTCTCTCACCTTCCACCAGTAGTGGCATCTATCGTGCTTTGAATTCTTCGAAATCCGAAATTATGGCGCCATGAATCTGATTCTCCATATCCTTTAACATCAACTCTTATCTCAACATTGTATAAATATTGTTTGCCCATGCCATTTGGCCACCATAATTGGGGTTTGTAGAAAAATAGCTAAAAATGGGGACAAATGAAAATTAGAACTCGAATATGGATGCATTATCGCTAAGCAAAAAAAAAGAGGCCCGACTTTGCAAATGCCTCAAGGAAAATTTGTACGGATGTTTGGTTTTTACACGATAGTAGCTGATGTGTTTGTCAAATTGACGAGATAATGACACTAATATAGATTCAACAGGTGAAACAATATAGTGATATAAGGCATTATATAGACTATGAAAGGAGCAAAACTCATCTTTTATTTTCTATGGGTCTCACCTAGAGGCCAGGTCTTCTTTCCTATGACTGATAGAACTTAACAATGGACACTTTTGCATGATTAAGAATACTACTTTCTAGTCTCTTTCTCCACCACCTCTTGGCACTTTGATTTTTCCATTCTCCAGCAACTTCGGTTTACCATTAAAAAAATCGAGGAAATACTCAGAAGCGAGAAAAGAAAATGATCGTTTATTGCTTTTTTTATGCTTATGTAAGTTTGGAGATGGAAATCTCATTCAAGCACCACGGGTTTGTGCTTCAACAAGTCTCAGTGCTACCTCAATAATCAGTATCACTATAAGACCACATTTTCCAAAAACTGATAATGTAATACTCCTGGTCAATAAATGTTAAAATGATTGAACAACATCCAGTAATGTTATCAAAGATCTCATATAAGCCCCAGGCCATGGTAATACTCACCGGAGGAAATGTATACTGACTGCGGGTTTTAGGGGGAATCTTCAGATCTTGACTCAGGAGATGCTCAATCAAGCAAATGCTTCCCTCAAGCTCAGCTGTAACTTGGATAGTTATGGAACACTCTGCGAGCCATGAACTTCTGTTTTCAAACTCAGCTGTTGAATGAAGATAAGCCCTTTTGAAGTCATCGAAGAAGGATGAAACTAGGTGAGGGTCAATTATCTTCACCGGCTGCAATGTTTAACAAGACAAAAATGCATCATTGAATGCAGTATCGTTAGCACCACGTTTAGTGATCAAGTAACTAAAATGGAAATGAAAGTAATATCTCATTGAAACGTAACTGAGGATATTCCAAGTTACAGAAGGATAAATGTCTCACTATACACTGATCAGTCTTAGTTATATAACACCTAGGTTGCATTGCATGAAAAGTTTATGCATGATGTGGCATGGTTCCTGATGCAGTCAATCTCATTGACTACATATTTATGCGCGGAAGAAAGAACATAAATTTTCTGTAGTAATAAATTGAACATAAATTTTTACGTGACCCTTAACATGTACACCGTAGATGCAGAAATGTCACATGTTCCCTGTTATTGAAATGCACACGAAGCTACACTATACTTTCAAACTTTACTGAACAGGGAAGCATCACCAACATAAATTGTGTACTAACCATCAACATGTATTGTTAGTTCAACTGGGCATTGCGCCAGCATTTAAATAACGTTTACCTTGGTTTTGCAAGACTACCGCTTAGTACTGAATCATGGATCCTCACGCATATTGGTCAAATAGATTTTCAGGCTTTTAGAAGTGCAGATATATTTCTGTTAGAAAAGAAAACGAACGAATTGACAACAACAATGAAAGTTCATGCATCAGCCAAGTTCCCTTTTCATCCTCTTTTCTACCTCCAAGGCAGGTGGGATAAGCAGTGTGTGGCATGATTTAGTTTTCCAATTTCTTTTTCTTTTATTATTCCTACTTAGGTTTTCATCGCCTACAGTTCTTCCGATTTCCAAAATAGGCAAAAAAGCATGAATTAAACGCTATTAACATTTAAACAAAAAAAAACAAAGATGGTTGGAACCATGTAGATGTGACTCATGTGACTGGTACGTGGTCAGTTGATTGTCAAATCTAACGCAGTATTCAAAGCTACAGGGTTAGTAACCAAGTCCGATCCGGATAGCCTAGTCTAGAAGGAACAAGATTAAATTGTGATCATTCCCCTATTGTACTCCCTCATACTCTCAAGAAAAACGTGATAAATCCTTTGCCTAAAACATACATATTTGTGACACCTCAGAAAATGTAACCAAATCCGTTGCTTCCACGATCAAGTTCCTACCATACATGACATAGGCTACAAATACGTGTTCATTGGGCTTCCATCTTTACATAGATCATTTGACATTTATGCCCTCTGATACTACACGAAAAAAACTTCTAGCAATGAATGACCATCCAATCCATGCTATGGAAAAGGAAGATAAATTACTGACTAAAATGCAATTTGATTCAAGGAGTTCAAAAAGTGAATTCCGTTGTACCTATTGAGTAGCAACACGCACAAGAGGCAGTGTTCAAAATCGCGAATACAGTACATCTTCCCCATGGCAAAATCGTAAAAGTTTGATCTGATTCTTACAAGTCAGACTAGAAACCATGGTTGCAGGATTGATCGACTGGTGCCGTAAAGAAATTCCATATATAGGAAGAAAATGAATAGAATATCACAATTTTAACGTGACATGTCTTTGCATGTGGGCTAGTGGACAAAACACTGTCTGCTCTATATCCTGTAGTGCCCTTCAACACAATTGTTGGGACTTTGGCTGCACTGATACAAGATGAAGCCACTTATTTCTAAACCCCGTTGCTTTTCTTATGTCCTTTCAACTTCAAAACAGGTAGTGAAGCACCAAGTGGCAGGGAAACTAAGAGGCTACATGCCTAGGGTTTGGAAACTTGTTTTCTTTAGATCAACAGATTTAATATGGAGGAAAAGATCATAGAAAGTAGACTATGGTAGTATTGTGAATGATAGACAATATTGATGGGTGCCATAATCCATGAGAAAGCGCATAGTTGGCCTGCCTTCCCCATCTCGACGTGGGGTAACTGGAGATGGAGATGGGTAGGTATTAGGTCCCCTGTCCATGTAACGCATTCTTGGGAGGGAAAAACCCTGGAATGAGAAAGTTCTCAGAACTGTTACTCTGGAACTGGCTCCAGCATACAACTCATCGATATCTTCTCTATTGAACATCTAAAACCAGATTATCATCCCTTGTTGAACGGAAATATCTATTTATGGCATAGTAAATGACTGCAATCGTGATTGATGCATAGTAAACATTAATGTTTATGAGTAAAAAATATTATTCCTCACAGCATATGAGTCTCGATTGCTCTCTCATCAGTCACTTACCTGGGTTGCATAAAATTTCAAGTAAATTTCAAGTAAAGCTCATCACGTAGTACAAATTTTAGGGAAATTTTATTTGGAAGCTATTTTTTGCTAAAGTTCATCATATTCCAAGGCTTCTTCAAAAAAGAATAATTGAATAACTGAGTTTTACTTCACATATAGCGCAAGTCTAAATTAGACTAGGACTTGGAAACAAAGAAACATCAAACGTTTTAAAACAGTAGTACAAATTTGACCAAAATGTACTACTTGTTCAGCAATTGAGCCAGCCCGATTAGATTCAAACTTGCACAAATCTATGCCATTAGAGATGTAATAATCAAGATCCTGGGATCATTTTCACCTCTCCAATTCAGTTCGTTCTGAGTATCAAAACTAAACTACAAGAACTAAAAGTCAGGGAAGAACATATTTAGCGAAACGGTAATGGGGTGATGACTGAAGCATATTATTTTCTAGTATACTTTTGTCAAGATGACAAACTACAATTTAAGCCAGCCAAGAATCAATGTTTCCAAGAGATTCAAGAAAAAGAGGTAGGATAATTTTCCCCTCTCATGAATGTACTTCACTGTGCCTGAACTCCATCTCAATTTCCAGTTTAATGCAGACCATAAAATTAGAAATATTTTGGGCATAAAGACAAAGTACTGTCATATGATAGATAGTTTTATAATGTAATGTTCTCAGCTTTGATCAAACCTTTACATAGCATACGACAAATGAATTATTCACATCAGGTGTTAGCCAATAATTAAAAAAATAATAAAAAAATCACATAAGATCTTATTTGTTATTGATACCCCATCACCATGCATGATCAAAAGATTAATCAAGATGTCAAATGTCTCTCACTATCAAGATAACTGAAGCATCACTTTAAGAATTTGTAGAGCGTAGATGGATTAAACATAACAAACTCTGAGAGATTTAAAACAGCGATATTAAAAATGGACGGCATACCCCTGTTACAGAAATTGAGACTTCATCCCAGATACCAGTGTTCCTATCCCTGTCACAGGAAATAAATTTATCGATAATCTCATGTAGCATCCAATTAAGTCCACAGTTAAGAGTTTTTCACTAAAACGATCTAGCATATCAGAAAATGTATTAGATATTAAATCATTTTTTAAGAGAAAAGTGGGATGCACAGCCGATTTTCTTTGCATTAATAAATCATTAAGAAAATCCAAGTAATGACTAGGTGAGATTATGCAAACAGCATGCGCACATTATTACGAGTAACAAAGTAAGGCAGCATGAGCATTTGAAAACAATAATACGAGCAAGTAGATGAACAGAACCTCCGATAAAACATACTTATTATATGTTGAATAACTTGATCAATGGAATGAAAAGATTTTATGAATACAAATCCACTCTTTGATATTCTAGCTATAATTGATGCTCTACACAACACTGAAATGAGTATAATGGCTATTACATTCTATTGAGGATGAAGAAGACGAACGAAATTATTTGTTTTACTCGCTTAGCAAAATCTCAGTACATAGTTCCAAGATCATGAATACAGTAATATATTTTGCACAAAAATCCGACTTGGAATGGCTAAGTAATTTTAGCTCCACAGAAAGATCAACTTGCTCAGCAAGAAGAGATGAGCTAATAATACAACTATAAGCATTAAAGTTGCAAGGAATGAAATGACCACGAAGTTAAAGGTACCCAGAAAGAGGTCTAGATGACTAGAGTAGAATGGATAAGAACACTAGAAAATCTTCTGCTGTCCCTAGTTTCTTGTGCTTGTAATTCCTACAATCTCATGGAACTGCCTAAGCCTTGAGACAAGATCACAAACTAAACTTACGGAGAGAGAAATGAAAACCACTATATGGTACTAGTACTATTGATTCATTCGTCTACTCTTTAGGACATTTTTGTGAGCAAAACCTTAATGTTAATGAGCTGATTCTTATCAATCAAAACAATTCTTATTGAAAAATACTCCTTTGAAAGTAGTTACCCCCTTCCAAGAGAGGAAGTCAGTCTAGAATTTAGCAATATAAATAAGAGAGCACCAGATCATATTAAGAGAGTTTCTTTTGAATTTCAATGGTCAAATGAAAAGATAGTCTTCCTTCATTTGGCATTATACTTCCTCCTTTCTTACGGTGCTTCGTTTCACTGTCTTGCGGACTTTATACTTTGATTCAAGTCTACCCTCAGCCCCTTTATTTACCATCACATTTTATATTGTATTCTATCCAATGTTGTATGGCTCAAACAAGCGTTGTTATTACTTACTTTTTGACATTCGATCTTTCGTGTCTTGGTTTAATTGATATCAGTCATTACATTTGTACTTCACCTCGCAGGATTTACACCCCCTTTCTGAACAAAACACGATAAACTATGGACACAGAAAGAGAGCTTCCCTGTCTGTAGAAAGGACTGAGTCTAGAATAAGGCTGTCTTTTTAAATTCTACTTTTCTTCTGCCTACCTTCACTTGTAATCCAAAAGTCAAAAGCCTTCTAGAAACTTATAAAAAAAATTATAACAAAAAAACTTATTAGATCATATTTTAAAATTATAAATGTCCGAATCGATAGTCCTCTCATATGTAACATAAAGTTCCAATTCTCAGCCATTGCTGAGAAATTAGCAATGACTGAAAACCAATCAGTAAACTAGAAACATAATTGCCAAAGTTAAAGAATATTTTTTTTAAGTTGATTGGCATTTGAATGAAGTGAACAAAAATCAATGATATCACTGGGTGGTGTCTGCCCGTATCAAATAACCAATAAAAATGGGATTCATATTTTAAAACTAATGTTTTGAACTCATCTCAAAACTGCTGAATTATCTGGAAATTGTTTTCAATCCACAGGAAGATCCCAATTGAGATCAGATCAGGCATAACCAATCTAACAGCCAAATCTAATTCTTGATATCATGCTTCACACTCGTCACATGCAACTGACTTCGAATGCATCAATTTGTAAGAAGATTGAAATTAAATAAGGGAAATTAAAGGAATTCCATAACTTGAAGCTTTGATTAACCTTTAGATTGGAATTTTCTTAATTTAAATGCAAGCCAATAATTAGTGGTCACGCATCATTCAACTAGACAAGGAGGAACCGGCCATGCTCAAAATCGTGATTAACTTTTTGAGAGTAAGTGATTTAAGTAACAACATAAGTCATGGAAAATACAACACAGCTAACGTCCCACTGAAGGTTTATTAAAACTAAAAAAGTTTGTGACTAGAAATTGCGGTGGTTTTCCTCCTCCCTTTTGCTATCTGACAGCTGAAATTTTCAGTGATAAAATGACAGGAAGACAGGAACTCGTTCAATCAAGAAGGCATCAAGATTAACAAAATGGAAATGTTCGTATAACCTAGAGTCTCCGTAAAAGATGAATAAATGACCACCTTATTGGTGCCATCCAGTCCCAACCCTCCACATATTGAGCAGCAACATCTTTTCCAATCTGCCATTAAAATATTTAAATATTGTCAGAAAAGAAGGTGACAACGGAAACAACTATACATATCCATGTATGTGTATAGCAAATGCTAGAAAAATAGCAAAATAAGTGCAAGCAAATTTTTAACCATTGAAATATTGGTAAATACTTCAACAGACAAAGTATTACAAAAAGATCCGTTTTGCAGAGCCAGAAAGTAATTAGAGAACCTGGAAACCAATATACTTTACTTGAGACATGACATTACACCAAAGAAAGTTTGAGGAATCCTTTCCATGGGGGGCAGAACATTTCAACTCATTCATGTTGTCCCATTCTTTATTGGTCCTCTCTCATCTTGTCGCTTATTACATGACATTATCCATTGTAGTTCCCAGCAAGGGTTAAGATTGAGAGCTACAATCGTCAGGATCAGTTCTTTCATGGCTCATCAGGAATTAAACATTGTCAGTCCTATTCAGATTCAAGAGATTTACTATCCATATTAAGTATTTTAAGAATCATGGAATCTTCGACATAATATCTGTGACTATATATGCAACTAATGGAAATCTTATTTCTGAGAAGACTTGTTATGTTGGTGCCTCATATTAGCAGGGCTTCAACTTGCCTCAAACACAGCAAGGAGTGGCATGGGCTCGATCTGCCTAAATACCTATCACATGGATAAGAAACATGAAAGAGCGTATTATATGATTACTGAGCTGCCACTGCACTTCGTGGAATCAACCGTTTATATCCAAATCAGCAATTATTTCGCAAATTTCAAGGGAAATGTCAATCCCCAATAGACCGTGAATCTCTATGATGAAGGATAAAAGAAAGACAAAGGTAAGGAGGAAAGAAATGATTGCATGAGGGGATACAGTCAGAGGAAGCGAGGAAAGGACAGCGAGTGCAACTATAGGACCAAGTCATGCATGCCTGCAGATGCAGATAATGACTGGAGTTTAAACTGATGCTAACTGCTACTACTTTTGCGAAAGTACACTGGAAGGCCAATTGATTCCTTTTAACCTACTTCATGTTAATCCCGTGAGCAATTGGTTCTACTCTCGACTCTTTTTCTACTGCAATATGCTTGCTTCAGGTTCACCAGGATCAATCCACTAAACAAGGTCAGAGATGTAGCTAAACGGTAGATGATTTTTGAGGTAAATGATTCAAGATTAAATCTCAGCATCTGGAACCAGAAAAAGGAACTTCAACACCAGAAATCTAAATGAGTATTGCCAATCAATCAGTACACTAGAGAGAATAATCTATTTCCTATACAGTTTTTCTATAATTCACAGTTTTCCTTTTTGTCTTTCTTTGGGATCATGCACTCGTAAATAGGCATATGCATAACAAGACCACAGTTTAGGCAAATCTAAAATTCTCTGTTCTCTCTATCTATCATGGTATAAGAGTCTTCTCCTCCTCACGTCTGATCCTCTACATTGAATGTCTTTGAGAAATTATGTACTCACATTGATTTCACGGAATGGATTTTGTTGTTATCCCCTTCAAAAGTCTCTACCATCCTTCTCATCATCTGCTCATGAACAGTCGCTGTGCATCTGTCGACTGCTATTCACAGCCCACTAGGTGAATGAGAAACGCAAACAAGTGCTTTCAAGATCCTTTCATATGGCTCATTCGTTTAAGCAAACCGATCCAGACTTGGATAGCCCTATTGACATTTGTGTCTGAACAGATAAGTATCAGCATCTACTCTACATTTTTTCCGGGAGTTTTTGTGAGTTAAACTGCATCTGCATTCTATTTGGTCCTATCAGATTATTGCTGATGCACTCTTTGAACATTATGATGCCATCCATGATCACTATCTGGAGCTTGAATATTCAGGTTATCAAAGTCGACAATTACACTATCTAGGATATTCGCCCAAAGCCCTTTTGTCACAAGTAGATTCATCCAACTCGGCCCTATGCTATCATTGATAATGTTGAGCCTTCTCATTGTACCATCCTGACCCCTTCTGTTAAAACAGTATAGTGTTCCACAGTAGACTGTCACAATTGTCTACTCAATAGACTCGACTTCAGTAACTATTTCAATCAGCTGGTCTCTTCTTTCAACCTCTGCAATCTAACCCTTTCGGTGCCATTATCTCAACACCTACATCCCTTCCGCATGGCCCTATCCCTTTGTGGAAGATGTTGGTAACTGTCAACCTCAAGAGTTGCCACATAGTTCTGCTCTGCCTCTAACTTATCGCCAATGACAAAATGTCTCGTATAGTCGTTCTTTTCTATATCATTTGGTCTCGTTTTGATGGACAGCTCTCCCCAGTTCTCAACATTTTTTTAGTCCTTCCCACATGCTTGGAACTGTAAAATTACTACCCATTATTCAATTGCCTTATTGGCAACAGGCAAGACACAAGGCGGTCCAACCTCAAGAAGCTACTATGATTTGACAATAGTATTGACAGCTTATGGTGTGGGAATTCACAGTAGTATTGAACTCTTGTGTCTGTGCAGATGCATAGCAGTAGCAAAAGAGAGGCACCCCTCAGCTACTCTCATTCGTTTGAATTTTCAACAGAACTAAATATAGGAGACACAATGATACTATTTTGCCACACCGTATTTTTAATGTACAAAGGATAAAAAACAACGTGAAAGACAACAAGACAAACCAGAAACTCAAATTACAGTAGAATGCCTCTCATACCTCATGATCTCCACCTTGTCCACCCTCTGGTGGTATACGCCCAGGATTATCAGGAGGATGAATGAGCACTGCTAACAAATTTATTCCAGCAGGATTCAGAATATCAGAAACGTCAAGAGAATGCCTCCGAAACATCCCCTTGGGCAAAGACTTTCCGTGGCCATTCAAGTATAGATCTGCTGAATAATTGATTGCACGGAAATTGAGATCCAGATGTTGATGTGTTGACTGGGAGATGAAGGCATTTAGACAGTATTTTAGTTAAGGCGATCCCAGTCGTCAGTTTCTCTTTAAGAATAGGAGATGTATGGTACGGTATTGTACGTGCACAGACAGTCAATATCAAAATCAATACACATTAGATGTATCAATATATGAGTTTATTATAAAGTAACTCTTTTATTAAAAATATGGAAAACATTGACATAATATCTATGATAAAGAGCAAAGACAGTGAAAATATAGGCAGAACAAGTTAGTGTTTAAAAAACATCAAAATGCTGAAGGCCGGGCTTGACAAATAATGTTTAAGAATTGTTCACTGTTTTATTTTCCAGAAGTTGATTGCCAATCTATTACCTGGAAAAAGATACTCCCAAAAATAGAAAGAAAGCAAATCCCCTGGATATGTATTTACGGGTTAAAGCAGACCCAAACTTCATACCTGATCTAATGGTGGTATAGTCTCTACCACTTATTTCCAATGAAATGTGAGCTAAGGAAGCTTTCCTTGTTCCATTAGAAATAACTTTAGCAATGGGAATCTTGGTATAGTCCACTTACTAGAATAGTTTCATTCAAAAAATACTATAATGGCTAAAAAAGACATGTTTTAGAATTGTACAGAAGTTATATGAACATCTATTGCAGAGTTTGTATGTACCCAATTTTTTTTTAGAAATGGTTTGTACACCTGCACACAAGTGCATCGCAAACGTAGTTAATACCATCAAGCTAAGGTAATCAGGTTCATTTCAACTGCATGAAAGAGCATTCCAAAGCACCCTGAACCTTGCTTGAGATAAACATGGTCATAAAATCAATATTTGTCGATTACCTGTATTTCTATTGATTTATCGTCTGGATGTAGGAGCATTTACTTATTTATGATGAATTCAATGTGAGATATAAAGATATAATCTTTGGAACGTTTGATTGCCTATGTTAGGAAATAATTCCTAATGTACTAAGAACACTAAACTCTAAAAGGGTTTGGCCAAGGAAGGGTACAGAATAAAAAGGGTCCTTACGTGTGCGAGAAGAATTCTGGTTTTTCACTGTAATACTACTTTTAGCTACCCATATTTCTGGTTTTCTTCAGAGTAAAAAATGTCATTGGCTACATCTTGTGAACATGAACCAAACGGACTTGATTTGATCTAATAGAGAGGTTATCAAGAGTTTTGGACACTTTATACATTTCTACACAACCTTCGACGAGTTATTAGCGATGGAGATCATCCTAGGAGATTTCAAATATTTCTAGAAATATATAAGCTCACAAGGAATTTTCTTTTCTATGTCAACATGCTTTCTGAAAAGAGAAATCAACAAATTAGAACATTAAAAACATATAAAGGTGGTCTGTACATAACATAACTGTGTACAGACGCCCATTATCATTTCGATCTGAAACCAGACATCATTCCACAAATTAATGTCAAGCAAAAGACTGATCATTTTATAAAACCAAGAAAGGTCAATACAGGTGATGTTATGCTTACCGGTGAACATTTAAAGCTTGTAAAAAACCAAAAAGTATAATAATCTCTCCCAGAATCAGCAATATCAATAATTGTCTCGTTCTTCAATCCATAAAAAGGATCTGGTACCAGCTTATTCCTCAGCAAGGTTCCTAAAACACTGATACAGTAAAATTATTGAAAGGAAAGAAAACACGCTACTATTTTGCTACTGAACTGGTGGAAGTAGGGGACAATCAGATAACTTGTCACCTGACTTTGCATCACCATGACAGTCATTAAGTGTACACTACTTTGTTTTCACTACAAGAACATCACTCTATCATTAAAATACTAAAGATCTACGGAGTTATAGATGATACAGATAGTTAATAATTGTGACTAGTTGTCAGCAGTGAGTTCCCGCAAGTAGAAATAACTGAAAGTCATTAGTTGTTAGCCAAGAGTTACCACTCATAGAAATAATATAAGTTCTCATTAGTTGTCTAGCAGTTGTTTTGCTTTCATAACTTTCCTTATAGTGTTCAGCACTGGATACAGAATCACTGATTTTGGCAGGAACTTAATAGGTGATCGGAGACATAGAACCTAGTAATTCACGTTCTTTGCATATCTTGCATCTCTGTACTCTGCCTCAACTTCCTCTAGCTAATTATTTCCTCTTCCTAGAGGTTGACCTTGAAGAAGATATGCTAAATTCAAGGATTGATTCTGTCACCACCCTTAAGGCCTGTAACCCGGTATTCAATAATATGACTAGATTACTCGCATTAATTATTTTAAGCGAGGTATCTCAAATCAAGATGAGCTTCTTCCCTTGATTGTTTCTCAGCGAGATTGAATAAGACGTTAATTCAGTTGAAGAAACTGAGCTTTCACTAATTCTACTGCTAGGGATGAAGCTGTCGCAGTCTGCTCATATAATAATTGGAATCTTCACTAATTCAGTAATAGGAGTGGCTAACATAAATATAAAAGTTATAAGGCAACGAATTAGTTAATGAATATCAGCTACTCCCAAGAATATCTTTAGAATCCATCAAAATCTAGAACAGAGGTTGGCCTATCCTGAACAAGAGAAGAGAAAGGCTGTTCAGTTTTTATTTCATAATTTTTTTCTCTAACCTCATTTCTGCATGGCCAGGGTCTTCTTAATATAGGTGCATCAACGAAAAAGCAAAGGTTCTTCAACAGAAGAATAGGATGATAAATTTTCTGAATCTTTGTAGGAAGTTTCCATTCAGACTATATTCAGATCTTTCGAACTAAAATAATGTTAAATGGATACATGGTAAAAAAGATCTAGTTTTATTGGTCTCATGCAGTTCATATAATTTCATGGATCCAACCTTGGTTAAAAAACTCAATTTATACATTGAGGGAAATCAAGTGAGCATTAAGGTGCTTAATGAATTGCAGATGATCTGTGAACTAGTGCGCCTTCAGTTGAAACTGATCGTACAAGGGTTGAACATTGGCAAAGACTTTGACATTGTGCCTCTTAACAGGAAAAGACATTGTATTTGTCCTTATTGAGAAGCTTTGGGAGGGATCACCTTGGACTTACGCTGGTTACCATGAAATTTCAGCTGATAAGATAACATGGCTGATGTGACAATAGGATGCATAAGAAGCTGAAAGCCGGAAATCTCTATAGAAAAACGTATGAACCTCACTAGAAGAAGCTTCAACGAATTTTGCATGAATTTGAAATGGTTCTTAAAGAGTTAAAGAAGCTATCACCATTCTACCCCCAAGTGGATGAGAGCAAGATTATCACAAATACACTGTGATCTCACCTCTAGTGGTCCATAATCATGAAACTAAGGTTAGAAGCCATACATTATGGAATCAATAGGCATAGTGCGCATCCTTTTTCCTTCCCTGGACCATCTGTGTGGATTCCCGTGCATTTAATGGGACTACAGTTACAGATAAGTTCCATGGCATTAGATTATTTTATAATTTTTACATTAGATCTGATTATGAACTCCATGCCATTAGATTATTTTCAATACGTAACAGCCAAGAAGGCCAACATCCAGAAGATAGCTTTTCAACAAGATGATTTTCATGAATTCTCAATGACTGTGCTGGGTTTATCAAACGGAAAAATCAGGCTTGAAGGGGTGGCGGATCAAAGACTCAAACTTGCTATAAAAAGATTTTATTTGTATTCGCTGATCATGGATAAGGATATAGAAATGATTGGATGGAACACTGGAACAGGTCAAACGATGTCACAAAACTAACATCAATTTAAAGCTAAAAGATCAAAAAGTCTGCTCAGGATCACACAATTTGATTATCTACATTAACCAAAGGCTGAGTCTTGTCATGAAAAAATTGATTTCAGATGGGATGATGGGTTGACTGATTATGAAAAATGCAAATGCAGAGTTGGACCAGGGAGTGTAGAAAGTTCGATTGAAATACAGCCTGATAAAAACACCCTGAAATGAGTTATATCAAAAAGATGCTTTTTGACTGCCAGACAAAGTTAATAGATTATCTGACAACATAAATAAGGTAGCGCCCAATGTACTTGTTTTATGATTCAAAATTTTACAAAACCATTCATTACTTATAGAATGCCTTCAGTTTAGGCATTGATGCGAGTCTTATGCAAGGCAAACAACTTTTAGAACTATTGAGTAAAGCTCTAAAACGATAGTGACATTCGATTTCTATTTTCTAGAGAGAGAATATTTGGGCAGCTCATAAATCGAGGCTAGGCTTCCCTGCCCAGACTATTGCTTGTAATCAGCAAACGAGCTCAACAAAGGTGGATTAAAACCATGCGGTGATTACCATTGCCTCAAGGTTACTTGGGACAAGGTGAAAAGATAGATGGAAGTTAACTTGGAAGCTGAAGTGCTTCAATCAGTTCAAGGATCCCCTTAATGTATGTACTATGAGGGAAGAATATTGGCCGGTTAACCAATCACAGTTACTTACAGAATCACACCTTTCCTATGGCCCCACTAGATTACATGGAATTCTCCACAGATTTAAGTCGATTTTACTGTGGGAGAAAATCAAGGCTGAAATTTTAAGAGAATGTGATAGATGGCAATAGGATAAATTTGAATGCATGTTGTCACATAAGTTGAGTATCTTAACCTCACTAGAAGAAGATCTGCCAAGACAATGGAACAGATTTCATTGATGGGTTTACCACCTTCTTCAAGAAAAATTGTCATTTTGAAGTTGATGGATTGATTGTCTAAACAGGGACATCTCATACCATTCAACATTTATAGTTAGAAACATGCATATATTATATACGTATAGAAAGACCAAAATAATTGGTGAATGGCTTTCTCGAGCAGAACAGAATATCATTCAACATTCTGCAGTAAATTTGATTACTAATAGGATGATTGCTCTTGCCATTCATACTTCAGAAAAAAAAACTATTAATTGAAGCCGTATTTTCTCAGTGGATAAAATTTACTTAAGCTAAGACCACATAGACTTGATGTATATGCCAAGTCATGACCAATTATCTTATCTGATCAACTTCCGATACAAGCAGGGATAAAACGTTTCAGCCTCTGAATGATAATATAAACAAGGATCACGTACATGTGAAGTTTGAAACAAGCAACTAGCTTAATCTGCAGTAACAGTCATATGATTAGAATTCAATGAAATGAAGGCCAAGCTACACAAGCCCGGCTATCCTAAATTTAATGCCCTCTATCCAATCTCAGAGAAGAAAGGAGTCAGGGCGTTACAAATCAGCCATTCCTGAAAAAGCCGAAATGCACTTGACTTCCACATGCCAAAGCGAAAGCTGAAGTTCCTTACACCAAACGATCCGGTTTTTTCTAACCGTCCTGTTAGAGGAATTAATCAATAAGAACAACGACGCTACTGCAGAATGGCTGACCCAATGTGGTGATTGACACTTTGATGGAGCTTCAGCGGAGTAAACGGATGTGATTGAAAAGAAATTCTAACAATCCGACCTCGCAGACAAGGTCATTGCTTGTAGGACCCTTTGGCGTACTCTGAGCACGCGACAAAGCAGTAGGTGCACGCATGCCACACTTAGAGGACGAGCTTCAGCATCATACTATTCGCGGCGACTGGAAATAATCAAGGTTTTTACAGCGACTTGGTAACAACCATGCCAAAAGATTAGAATGCAGCCTATGGGGATGATAAAGCTAGGAAAAGAGGAATGCCACGACTCCTACTCACGTCCCGGGAACGGCGGCTTCCATCCATGGCGGGGAAGGAGGAGAAGAAGGGGGGTGTGTGGTTGTGAGCTGGACCCCGGTCAGCTTGACGTCCGTCGACCTTGCAGCCAGCCATCCCGCGTCCAGCTTCGTCTTCCCGATGGGTGCCTCGTCCCTTACTACTGATACCACCCCCGTCATCGCCGGCTCCTCGCTCTGCTCGCTCCCCTTTCTCCTGGCTTAAGACAGTAGTCCTCCGCGTCCCTCCGGAACCAACCGGTTGCCGGTGAGAGTAAAGTTGCAGGCGAGGCACGTGGAAGTTGGTCCCCACCCTTTAGCGCCACTGCGCGTCGACTGCGGCAGATGACACCCTCTGAAAAACCCCACCCCACCTCAGACTACTGTTCTCTACGAAGCAAACGGAGATTAGAATTCAGCGTGGAATACGAGGAACATGCTGACAAGGTAAAAAGGCGAGTAGAACCATCATTATCTAGTTGAAGCAACCTCAAAAAGAGTTATCGGCTGGTTTCCCTCCTGTAAATCAGTTGGAGCAAGAGATTATACCCAGATCAAACGACCAATCAGAGTCTCTGTAGGAGCCTTTTGAATCAAGAACAGGTCGGAGAAATTATTCCTCACAGTCATCACTGTTAGTTAACCAATGTGGAAAATTTCTCAAAATCTTTCCTTGGTTAGTAATCAATTTACAACCATTCACCAGAATCCGTTGAATTATTTTGAAAAAAAATCATAGAATTTATGAGTTGATTTTCTTGTAAAACTTTTTGTTTTGTTCTTCATAACAAGAGTGAGTCGACCCATTTGAAAATGAAGCATGACACTAGGGTGCAGTAGAACCATTGGGGATACTTTTTTCACATTTTTTTATCATTAAAATGCATAAATGAAACGAGATATTTATATAAATATCAAATTCCGTACTGCCTTATAACTTAAAGTTGTGAATTAGAAGAGATTTGTTGAGTGATAATCTAGTTGAAACATTAGAGGCTTTCACATAGAAGAAACTATCTTTTGGGGAAACACCTAAATCAGCTAGTGCAATAATCTGTAATGTGATGATTGCTAAATCTTTCATGTCTAGATTATTTAGTAATGAAAGTTAATGGAAGAAAAGGATGTGATCCTTGAAGGGTAAAAGCCCAAGTGTACTGCACAACTATAATTATAAAGTCTACACACTGATAGGTGAACAATATTAAGAGGATAACAATAAAAAATAATTTACGCCCACACTTTGTTCCCTTTTAGTCGCAATAAGCCAAACAATGAGGTGTATGGATTGACAAGTAGATGTTAGTTTTGACGAACCTAAGGATGACTAACATAGTCTTGGAGTATTGGTGAATAAACTTTATCATGTTTCCAGATAAAATTATTCTTATTTTAATCGTTTTAATTATTTAGGATTAAATCTCCCATGTTAAGAGATGTGGTAAGTTTAGGATGAACATAGTTTACTCATGTAGTTTAGACGACCATGTAGAAACTAGAAGAAGTAATCAAATTGAGACACTACAATATTTTGTTTCTAATTCCCTACAGAGTAGAAAACTATTTAAGTTATCACAAGAAGAGATCAAACACAAATATAAAATGTACATTAAATTTTGGAATGGTTCAGTCCCTAGCTTTATACTTCAGCTATTTTAATATTAAGGAATTTAAATAAATCAAAAACTTGATAAAAATATAGTCCCATTACACTAGTCATTGGATGAACATCAGAATTATTCGATCCACTATGGTTTTTCATCTGATTTTTATTTTTAAGTATAAAAAATAAAGATAATCATCCAGCAAGAGTTGAAAATGAAGATAATCGAATTAGGGAAAAAAGAAAGCTATTTGAGATTAAAAAAAATAATAAAGAAGGTTTGTGTCAACTCAAGTGAGTATATTGAATGAGTCAACTAAAAAACTAAAATCTCAAACAAGAAAGAAAGAGATGATTTCTCTTTAAGTTAGTTATGGAAATTCAAACATTGCTAACAGGTGTCAAAGTAACTTTGATCATCTACAAGATAACTGCACCATAGAGCCAAAATCTCAAAAAACTACATATACTGTGATGGTGATCACAAAAACTGGTGGATCATAATAAGGTTGTAGAATCAAACATTTTGATGTGTCATTGATTCCTAGTCACAAGGGCCCAAAAATATGTAACGTGCACATCAAAGGTAAAATCATAATTTAATATTACAAATTATTTTCAGATTAGTTAATATTATTACATATATTCCAAAATGATAATTTCATTTTTGCAAAACATTATCTCCAGATTTTACATTTTAATAGTCCAGAAATTAACACATCTTAAGGCATGAAAAGACAAAGGATGATTTGTTGGGGCACATCAGAAAACGCCAAAAATAAAACTATCTATTGGATATTAACTTTCCAAAAAATGACAAGATTTGGTTGATTAAATAAAATTTTAAAAATCACAAAAAAAGAAGTATCAGTAGTATATGAGTTCATGAAAAATATGAAGGATCTATTGTAGCATTAAATACATAATTATTTTAAGAATGAAAATATTTATAATAGTAATTAAAGATAAAATAATTCTTATTCATCTCTATTGAATTTCAAATAGTTTAGAATAATAATTTTAAGAAGTATATCAAAATACATGAAATATGTTTTGAATAAAGTATGTTGAATTAAATTATTGAATAGCTTTCATTTATCAGATCATTATTCTTTATAATATGCAAACACTATCAATATTTATAGAAATGCTGCAAGGACAAACTAATAATTGGTACATCCAGATCATTAACAATTATTCAAATAAAATATTAGTGTCAAAGCTTATTGACTTAGCAAGCTCATTATGTTTGATCATTACTTTCAAATGGTTTTGATATAAATTAACTAATTGAATTTTTACTACTCATATTGACATATTAGAATATCTGAATATTGATGAATATATTTTAAAAAATATTTTTAATATTCTATCTCAACAAAGTTATGATTCTATATATTGATTCAATAATTCTGCTTGAAAATCATAATCTACTTGAAAGAATTTAGATAAGTTTTGATTGCTTAATCATTAGTCTATTTAGACATGTATTCTTGAATTTTTTTTATAATATTATTTTTTATTAAGTGGAGTGCACCAATAATGTTAAAATATAGATGTTGCAATTTAATAGTATCACACTGTGGTCTTTTATAAGAATATCTAAGCCCGTAAAAGACATATCATATTGTTTGTCTTATATACTATAATTTAAAATGATTTAAAAAATATAAACATTGAAAGATGATAAAATTTATTGAATTTTATTTCTCTATAAATACAACACCTTTTCCAACAGCTTATTAGTACTCAAAGCTCATACTTTTCTATGATCTTGATAAATTTGATATTTCTGTAAAAAGTTCTTTTAGAATTTGTAAGATCTTTCTTATTGGTTAAACAAAAATACAGTTTTGAGTAAAATAAAAAATCTCAGAAAATGAATAACTTTCCTCAACTAAATCAGAATGGCAATACATTTCACATTCACACATCATTATTAAAAGAAGAGGACAATACAAATCAAGTTTTTAGCATCATCTTCCAAATCAAAATTCGTGATGCACTCTAAGTCAATGATATCATTATGAAACATTCCATATGGAAACATTTCTTTTTTTACTGATAAAACCTGTGATTAAATCCTGATTTGAAAGACTCAAGAGAATTTACGATGTAATCAATTGTTGGCCACCTAGGACTCTAAATGTCCACAAGAATTTCAGGATAAACTTTTGTGAAAATTGAACTTGGTAATTAGTGTTTGATATTGAGATGTTATATCTAATATAATTGAAGTTATTCTTGAAATCTAGATGTAGTTAGGGGACTGAATCACTTCAAAAATTAAAAGTTTCACGCATCTAGATCCTCATATGTCATGAGACTCATGACATTGAGGAGAATATCAAAGATCTGAGAAATAGCTGATAATAGTTGATAATAGAAGTCAATATAAGTGCAGCCTAAAATCCAATATCTAATAAGATCAAGAAAATAATAAAATTAAAAAAATGAAGGGAAAAAATAGCTATTCACGATGAAGCTTTGACATCAAGAAACTAATGAATCAAGCCTCTAATAAGCTTAGAGATGAATACCCATAATGTCAATGCATTCTTAATTTGTATTTAGAGTAAGTCAACACTTAATCTTCTTTGTCCCACTAGAGATGTGAACTTAAAAGAGACAAGCAAGTCTCCTTTGTCTAAATTGTTAGACTTGTAGATTTGGAAGAGATGAGTTAATCTCCTTTGTTTGGACTCTTAGATATGTGGATCTAGAAGAAATTAGTGGATTCTCTTTTGGCTTAGCCCCATAGGGCTAAGATTTTTGAAGAAGATTCCTGAATTGGATCTTGAGTTTGTTAGCACTATAAAATCTAGGGAAGACAACTAAAGCATGTAATTTATTGTATATTTTATTAGACATTTAGCAAAACCCAAACAAGAAAAAGGATATGCGCTACTTGGAGAGTGTAGTAGGTCAAGTGGCTGGATAACTATAAACATTGTGAAGCACTTTCCTATTAATCTAAATAATAGAAATGAAAGGGAAAAAGAATATTCAAAAACCCAAGTCAACTGCCTTTGTGGTCTCACGTGGCCATGTTTTTAATTATCTCAATATGTTATTTTCTATCTTCGATTTTCTGAATTATTAAGACATCTTTGTGGATGTTATGGCTAACTTGATATTACAATAATTTTTAGACTGCATCCTAACTGATTTTAGAGAAAAATCCTTCGTTTTCTATGTTCTTATCTTGAATTCTAAGTTTTTGGAATCTTCTTTATAAAATACTTTCCATCAAATTTTCTTAATTTATTTCAATTTCTTGGTAGATGATTCCTTTCATGCTTTTAAACCTAAAAATCACAGTCAAACAACAAATGGACCTTATCTAATAACTTAAAATATTAATAGTTTAAAGAAATGATCTTCCCTTTTTTAATGTTAAGAAAATTTTAGAAAAAAAAATTTGTGATAAATTGTTGAATGATAAATATATCATTTGGATTACATTTCAGAAACATTTCACTAGAATGAAATCAATTTTTATTAAAGCACATAGTAGGTAATCTCTCCCTAAATGTGAGCATCAATCTGAGTTTATTTTTAATTAATTTTTTGTCAACAACAAAAGATGCAAAGGAATATAATAGGCTAAGGTGAAAAAAAAAAATCAAGACAATGCTTGCAAAAATGATATAACATAACCAATTTTTCCTTCATTAGTCTGGTCTTTAATGTGGGCAGTAAACTTGCTCATCTCCTTAGAAAAGATGCAAAAAGCATGAGGAGTAATGGGGACATTGGAATAGGAGGTTGAGGGTGTATGAATGGAGTGAAACGAGGATAATTATGTTGAGTAAGGTTTAGTGGGGGTCAAAGACGAGGGTGTACAACAATCTATTGGTTGTGTTTGGGAAACATTTATCCTTATTAGACTACTGAATGCTGCAATGTAGGTTACATTAAATACAATGAGGTGGGATGAATTACTTAAAGTGTTTTCTCACTTTTATCTATTTTAAGCTGTTTCTCTTAATTTTAACTAAGTGGATCAGTACAAAATTATCATGTCCATAGAAAGTTTGGGTTGACACGACATCAACATAGTAGGTAATCTAATGAAATGAACATTTAAATTTATTGTTATTTGGCCGTATCTACTAGATCCACTTTCCAAGGGTTCCAACCCTTGGTTTCCACTATTCCCCATCAAAGAAATATAGTTAACCTTCTCTATATGTAGAAATATTAGCAAGAAAAATTTCATAGGTCTATCCCCAATAGAAGACACCAATGTTCTAAATTATCTTCTTTCTCTTTGTTATGTGTTTGTTAAAGCTAGATTTTTGTGTTTAAATTAGGTTTATAGTTCTACTTTTGTGTGTTATCTTGTGGAATAAATATAAAAATATATTATTAATCTTAGAAATCTGAAGTTAAAATACTTTGTATATTTTTTTATTATTTAGAAGAATAAAAAAAAAATCACCACCTGTTGGTAAGCCGGCACTTAGTAGTTGACTTGGAGAGGGGCACTACGGTCGAGTGGGTAGACCTAGATTAGGGGACCCATGAGTTGGGCTTGTGTGGTGAAGGACTCGCTTCGCACATGTATGAATCACTCCCCTGTCACGTCCCAGTGGCCAACTGATTGTGGAGCAAGGAGCGTCATACACACATGTGCGCACAAGGGCTGACCACTTTTTTACTCTCCCAAGATGATCTTGAGTATTATTTTATTTTGAGAGAAGAGATCTCTGATGACAAATTGTAGCTTTGATTTATATTCAACTCATTCACTGAAGTATTTTGATGTGGGACTAAAGTTTCTCTTGTGTTTCAAGGTGGTTGTATGGAGTGTAGTGTCATCCAATAATATTCAGTGAGTCACATCATCATATAAGACAGATCATGTAGTGGGCAAGCCACCACGATACCAGATGCGTAAAGTAATCCATTGGCAGTTGACAAATTCACCATTCAACATACACGTGGCTATAAATAATAATCTGATGGCTCGTGAAGTGCTACGGTACTAGGGACTTAAGTTCTCAATCGGCAATGATTTGCAACAAGTTGATCCTACATCATTCAGCACGCCACATGACTAAGCACATCTGTTTTAGTGCCTCATGAAGCACCATGATATTGAGAACTTAAGTTCTCCTACATATCACTGTCATAGATATAAAGATAATAATTAATTATTTTCTAGTAAAACATACATTATCAATTATCATTGTAATCCCGATAGTAGTTGGGAATGAGACAATCTATTTCTTCCCCCCTTTCACATAACCAATACCTTTGGTTGTCGACGAGCTCATTCATTTTTCCCCCAACTACACTTAAGGCCTTCGGTGAGTGGTCAACTCTTCCTTCTCTTTTCAGACAACAGTGACATTGTAGTTGACCCTCTTTTCAATGGATCTCTCCAACAAGTGGGCAACACTTTCAGATGATACTTCTATGACTTCCAGCATGGTGTGGCACATTTGGACGAAATCAAGTTGTCACATCAATGTCTCTAGTTACTCATGAAGTAGATTAAATTTAGGCAATGATTTATTTCTTACTTTTGTCATCTATTTATGTGCTTTCAATACTTATTTATATTTTAAGATAAGTTATTTCTATTTCATGAATGTTACGATTGAAATAAGTAGAACTAATTCAAAAACTTGATGAATAATCTTTGTTCTTCTTCTATATCTTTCACAATTCATTTGAGATCAAGCTAATATCATTTTCAACTTATTCTCTATTAATTTTTGTAGTTAAATCTTGACATATTCGTGTTCTCAATTGATGTATCTTAGTTGTTGTATAATAAATTATATAAATTTCAAATTTCTAAAACTAAAAAATAATAATTTTTAGATATTTAGAAGTATTTCTGAAAAATATATCAATTATAATTGAATAAAAGTTCTAAAAATAGTAGAAATTTCCCAGGTTCATCAAAAAGATGTAATATAATATTGAGTAATATTTTAGAATTTTTTTTGAAAAGAATATGATTTTTTATAAATTTTAGACTAATAAATAAAAATAAAATATATTTAAAATTCATAAAAAAAATAAGGGTGTGGACATCAAGATACCATCAGCACTTGATGAATGCAAATCGAATAGAATGAGAGTTTTGCCCAATGAGTCTTTTATAAGTGATTATTGACGATTTAATTAATCAAATCAAGATCTATAAAAGCCAGAAATATTGTAATTGAATAAATAATAGTTTAGAAACTTGATATCACATAAAGTATCACTAAATAAAGTAAATTTAAGTTGTAAGTAGGAAAGACAAAGTTTCAACCTCGCGACAGCAATTGCTAGAACTCTGTATTTTTAAGTAGATCATTGAACGATGTCCACGGCCTCAAGGTTCTCATTGGAAATGGACAACTTGGGCATTTGTGGAATTTCCTTACGAAGTCTAAAACATAATGGTGTAAGTTAAACTAGTTAAAAAATGATAAAATAATGATGCATCGACGATGTGTCATAATCTTGAGTATTCGGGAGGATTATCATACAATGTCTATGACCTCAAAGGCTCTCCTTGGTTAAGGATGATGTGAAAAATTTCTAGATCTTCTTAGAAAGTCTAGAAATCAATCAAGTGGGTCGTCGAATCATCTCTAGTAATTGTCATTAAGTGGAGTAGAAAAATGATGACTTTATGACTCTCTGATGGCTGTCACCCGACAAAAATGAGTTGTATGAAGGTAGAGTACTTGTTAAGGACCTTCACCCTCAAGTCTACATAACAAGAGGAGGCTCTTCATTGCATTTGGTACACTCTCAAGAGGTAACGACTCGTCTCCTAGTGAATTATTCTCTTCTCGACGACAACTTATTCGTCGATCAATCAAAGATGATTTACTTGATGGATTCATGATCTTTTTATCACAAATCGTTTAATAATTTTAGTAACGATGCTCCACAAATCACATTGATGAGATTTTTGTTGATGATTGAGTGATTCTAGCGACTTAATCTTTCACTGTTGATTTGCAAGAAAATCATGATTTAATCATGTAAAAAATATGAGTTTTGGCGCTAGTAGGATTTGAATCCTTGTTAGTCGCCGACCTACATGAGAAAGAGTGAAATATGTGAATACCCTTATAAAGTGATATCATTTAGGTAACTCTTTATAATAAATAAGGGGTATTTGAGGTACAAAAATTATTAAAACATTCTAGAGAAGGCATGACTGGGGTTTAGCCTCACATCAGTTATACGCCAAATTTTGAGATGAATATATAGTAATATGAGATTTAGGAATCAATGAGTTCCTTTCTTGTGTGTGTATGACCACTTCTTGCCCTATGCCTAGATGGCCACCGGTGATGTGGAAGGGGGGTGATGCACATGGTGCCCCCTATTGGTCCATCCTCAACCGCTCGAGCCCCTACTTACGACTATGCATCTAACTCATTGCGGGCCAGACTGATTGGTGGGTTTTCATCCTTTTTCTATTTTTTTCTTTTATTTTTCTATATTTATCTCAAAAATAAGATTATAAATTTTTTATAATTTTTTATAAAATTACATAATTAGTCAAAAAAATTAACCAACTAAAACCCACTTTTCATAATTTAAAATAAATATAAGTCTATTTATCATGAGTTAAGACTAAAACTATATTAATTAATTATTAACTCATGATAATGAAGACTTATCACTAGTATTTTGTGAATAAGTAGTATCTTTCTATTTTTGAACATAAAATCAACAAGATTAAAGACTGATTAATGAACATTGAACTATTAAACTAAGGTGAGACATTCATAATTGACCTTATTTCATGTGTGTGAATTCTTGAGTATGAATTCTTTCGAAAATAATGGTCACAATGAAAACGACTTGACTATATTTTTCTCTTTCTTAATTATCATCTTATCTATCATTTTCTCCATTTCTCTCTCTTTCGTAAAAGATCTCTTCCTTTTTCTTTCGCAAGATCTCTCTCTTCTCTCCTTCATTTTTCTATTTCTCTTCTTTTATTCTTCTCACCTCACCTTTTTATTTTCTTATTTCTATTAAACAGTGATAAATATTAAAATCACTCTATATATAAACTAAATTAGTTTTTATAATAGATTAATCAATCTCCTTATGTTCTACCTGAGACTTATATTTATATTAATTGGTGTGATTTAGTTGTTGTATAGTAAATCACGTAAATTTAAAATTTATAAAATTAGAAAATACTAATTTTTAGATATTTAGAAGTACTTCTGAAAAAATATAATAATTATAATTTAATAAAAGTTTTATAAATAGTGAGATTTTTTCAAGCCGAATAAAGGGATGTCATATAATATAGGGTAATTTTTTAGAATTTTTCTCAGAGAATATGATTTTTTATGAATTTTATACTAACAAATAAAAATAAAATATATTTCAAATTCGTAAAAAAATAAAATAAAGGGATGTCAAGATGACATCAACACTTGACAAACGTGAATTAGACAGAAATAGAGTTCTACCTGGTAATTCTTTTGTAAGTGATTATAGACGATTTAATCGATCAAATTAAGATTTGTAAAAGCTAGAAGAATCGTAATTAAATAAAGAATAACTTGGTAAATTTAAATCACATAAATTATCATAAAATGAAGTGAAAATTAAGTTGAAAGTAAGAAAAATAGAGTTCCTACTTCACGACAGTAATCATTAGAATTTGTGTATCTAAAAAGATCATCGAATGATGTCTACGACCTCAAAGACTCTCTTTGAACATGGAGGACTTGAGCCTTCACCAGATCTCTTTTCGAAGTCTAGAAAATGATAGTGAAAGTTAAACTAATTAAAAAATATTAAAATAGAGTTCCAATATTGTGGAGGCAATACATTAGCGATACGGAATCCTAAACGTTCAAGAAGATTGTCATGTAGTGTCCACGTCCTCAAAGGCTCTCTTAAGACAAAGACAATGTGGGTAATCTCTAGATCTTCTTACGAAGTCCAGAGATCGATGAAATGGGTTGTTGAATCGTCTCCAACAGTTGTCACCTAGTAGAGTAGAAAAATGATGACTTTGTGGCTCTCCGGCGGCTGTCACCCGATGAAGAGGAGCTGAATAGAGGTGGGACGCATATTAAGGAGTTTCATCCTCAGGTTCACACAGTAAGAGAAGACTCTTCATCGCATCTGATACGCTCTCAAGAGGTGACGACTTATCTCCCAACAGATTGTCTTCTTCTTGATGACGGCTTGTTCATCGATCAATTAGAGATACTTTACTTGATAGAT